GAAATCCGAAAGAAAATCCTTTTTTCTTTTGACAGTATGTACCTCTTGAAATGCTTAAGCACACGCCTAGTTAAATCAAAATAATCCAATGTGGTTTAAATGCATTCGGCATCATTTATTTGCCTCAAAAGATAATGGTGTGCCACTCAATACTTTAAATTTAAAATCGTTAAATCATTCATCCCTTTTGAGTTAAAATTAATTGTTAATTGAATAAAATACGATAAAATATTGCACAAATTCATTTCTGTAAAATGTCATTATTAAGGGGGCGAAGCAGGAAATTAAACTTTGACTGACAGTGACCAGTCTGCGAAAGATTCGTTTGCCGCGACCACTACCCATGTGACGTCACATTGTCAGTCGACAGGCCTTATACTAGTGTCTAGGTGGCATTGAGCAAGATACATGGTATTTTCTTGCAATGGAATAACACCACTTTTACGAAGAAAATATTGTTTACAATTTCAAAAACAAATGAATGCTTCAAGGAAATGAAGAACGTTTATGAAGATCATAGGCTTATATGTCTAATTCAGGCTATATACCGCGAGATTGTTATTCCAGATATGTTTGTCCTCGGAAATACATGACCCAGCGTATTTCCGATGGCAGTATTAACAGTGTTGATGATACAAATGTGCTTGTAATTGGAGCTGGAATTTCTGGGTTGACTGCGGCGTTTGAATTACTGCAGCGAGACTCAGGTCTGAGGATCTTAATTCTGGAGGCAAAAGGTAGTACACATTTTCTTTTACTTTATTACTAGAATGCATTGCATGAAGCTTATTCAGTATACATCTCCAGATCGTGTTGGAGGTAGAACATACACAGTGCCTCTGAAGACAGGAGAAGGACGATCCGAAATGTTCGATCTTGGTGGGACATGGGTGAGTTCTCTTCATAGCCACCTGCTGAGATTGCTGGCCAAACTGGATATTGAGATATATCCGCAATATTGCCAGGGTCGCATAGCAGGGAAAGCAGGTATACCTGTGTGGAGAACATTTGAGTATTTTCCCTTGTTTGGACCCTGGTATGCCCGTTACGAAGTATACCGATTAATTCAGAAGGTAAAACAGTGTACAAGAAAATACTGGGCAACGTAAAATGTGATTAAAGTATAAAAGTTGAGTAATTTTGCAGATAGAAGAGCTTGTGAAGGAAATGGACAGTACGGACCCAATGTGCCATAAAGACGCTGATGAACTTGACAGTATGACGATGGAGACATTCTTGACACGCAATCTGTATACTCTCGCAGCCCGAGATATAATAAGAACGATTGTTCGAATGCTGTTTGGTAAATGAAGGTTTGACACACATTGAACTATAGAAATCATTGGCAACTTTAAAAGTTTTGTATAGATAGTCATTTTCTTTATTCGCAAGAGAAAAGTTATTCCTACACCAAAATATTTTTTTATCTTAAAGAAAAAACATTCACACAATATTTTAAAAACTACTCTTTTGCAATTAGGTGCTGAATCTACGGATGTGTCTGTACTGTTCTTCTTAGTCCATAGTCAATCATCTTATGGCTTTCTAAACCAGTTCATGAGCTCAACAAAAGGAATACGTGAGTTCAGAATTAAGGTAATATACGATAAGATAGAGTTATACAGAACAATTTCTTTTACGAGTAAAATATGTTCAATATCTTAAAGTATGCTAGTCACGCGAACTAACCAACCAATTTAAAGCACGCTAGTCACACCAACTGATCTTAAGCTTTCTCAGAAGTAGGTAGAAGCATAAAGATAGGTAGGTAGCAGAAGCATAAAGGTTTGTAACGTAGATTGGAGCATAAAGACAAGACCTAAATCTGCAAGTAAGTTCTTTATTGTTGGTATTGCGCTTTACATCCTACATCGTATGAACCTTCGTTCAGTCGTTACCATTGACGTCACAACAATACTTCAAGAATTTGCTGTTCATATATGTTTTTTTTTATTTTCATAAAAGATTAACTGAAGTAAAGTACCAAGGAGTAACAAAACAAACTGTACTTTTTCTTAGAATATATTCAAAAGCGTCATATCCCACAAGGTTTTGAGAAATTCTGTGCATATAATACTGCGCATCGTACAGTGGAGGATCTTCAAAGAAAGTAAACTTTCCCTAGTGAACACTGGAAGAAAATGTTGCTAGATAACTTTCGAAATATTGTTGTATTTTCAGGGAGGTGCGCAGCAAATTTCACAAAAATTAGTTGACAAAATTGGTAAACAACTGATTATGTTGGATGATCCAGTGGTGGAAATAACTCAAGACGACAATTTCGTTTATGTTTCAACTGCGGGAAGTAAATTATACCGGTAAATATATCTGTGGCGTTGTCAGTTCATTTACCTTTGCGTTGTTTTTTTTATTTGCCTTGTGATAAACATATATTTGCGTGTTCCAGAGGCGAAAGACTTATAATAGCGATACCTCCTTGTGAAATTCTCCGCATTGACTTCCATCCCCCTCTACCGACGCGGTTTAGGCATTTGCTACAGAGATTTTTGCCAGGGCACGTGACACAGTTCGTGGTTACTTATGAACAAGTAAGTCAAATCCACCATATACTCCCGACAAAATTTCCTGGGAGGTTGTTGTTGTTTCTTTTTTTTTTTTTTTTTTTTTTTGCCAAACCGATAACTAACATAACGGAGCTAATTAAAACACGATACATTGCGGCTAAATGTGACCAAAAAGTCTTTGTACATCGTTAAGTAAATGCATAACGTGTATTGCGTTAGTAAAGAAAAAAGATATTTGCGTCATTCTTCAATATCCCTCCACCGGGTCGCCCGCGCCCCGTCACTTGCAGTCAGTTGCCGTATGGGCTCTGCGGAGACAGAATAACTAAAGTAAAATGGTTCCATGGGAAAGTATTGGAATCTCCTCAACAATACAATCTAGAATTTTCAGTCATAAAATCAGTTTCAAGCTTATTTTAAGCTGTAACTCCGCATACACGCCGGAGGTTATGATCTATTAGCGCTGGTCCAAAGATGGTTAAAATTGGTACTAGTGGAGAGGAGTACACGCAATTTTGCATCTGAAAATTGAGACGTCTTTCTGTATAGATGAACGCATGGTCATGCATAATGGTCTGTCAGATTAGAAGATTTTTCCTGAAACTTGGTAAATAGGTCCGATTGATTAGAATGATTTACTTTTGGAAGGTTCTTTACATGAAGTCCCAGTAACAATTTCAAAATTTTCTGCAAAATGGATGAAAATATTTTCTTGACATTTTTTTCTCGAATAGTAGAAATAAACAAACATACAATTATAAATCTTTAAATGACGTCATGTACTTTTAAAAAATATCTGGGTAATTGTTGAATAATAGCACTAAGAGATTCCCACTAATTATTCCAATATTTGTCAAAAAAAACTGATAATCCTTCCAATTTACGAATATGATTTATTTTAATTTTTCAAGAATTTTATTTTCAAGTACATGTTTTTCAAGTCGTAGTACAAGTACATTATTTTCAAGTCATCTACATGTTCTTACAGCCATTCTGGAGGCATGAAGGCTATTCAGGCCAAATACTAGACTATGGAGGGATAACCACAGATCATGACTGCAGTGCAGGTCCTCTGACTATGATGTGTGATGTGACAACAGAAAATGGAGGAGCAGCTTTGATGGGACAGTTGACAAGTATACCAGGATTGGAATGGAGTGAAAAGAAGGTAATACAATGTAAACAGTGCCATAAAATGTATTAATGTGATCCTTGTGTCTGAAAGTAATTCCAGAGAATAGGTACACTATTTTGTTAACCTGTAAATTTGTGACAACATTGCCACATTTTTTGTAAGGAAAATATTTCCCGGAAAGCTCAAATTACAAACGTCACATTTATTGTCTTCGGATAAATATTAAACATATTATGTAATAACTTCGTGAGAATGTTTTTCAAATATGGGTACTTGTGGCGTAATTTTGAATGAAGTCAGGGCAATTTAAAAAAAAATAAGAAATCAGATTTCCTAGAAAACATTTCCAAATGTCTTATTTACATTTTTTGCTGAAGTAGAGAAAAATATCTTAATAATTTAGTACACGTCCTATTTTCATTCAAATTTCTGGAATTTTAAAAATTTGAAACGTTCGTTTTTGTTTTTTTTTTGAAACGGTCGCACTCATTTAATATTGCAACTATTTATTGCAAGTTTATTTGTTGCAAGTTTATTTGGGCTTGTTTATTTGTGCTTGCTATTGCAAGTTTATTTGTTAATGCAAAATATTGTTCAATATTAGATCACTAAACCATTAAGATACGCATTTTTTGAAAGTTTGAATAGTTATCAATAGTTTTCGCAAAGTTTTGAATTAAGATACAAAAAATCAGAGGGACATAACAAAGTCCAGTAAACGGCAAGATTGTTCACTTTTTTAAGAAGGCTCAGTCGGTTGAGTCCAGGCTTATAACCTTCGATGCTCGTATTCGAATCCCAGCCTAAGTAAATATTACTTTTCTTTACTTTCTTACTTTGTAAGAATAGAACTCAATGCTCTACATTCAATGGCAGAAAGTCGTGTTCATTTAATACTTTTACATTTTAAAAAAATCAAGGTATTATGCATTTATCTAACTGTGCCGCTCTCAGGTTTGGTTAGGGGTTTTACAACTGGTGGCTGAATTGTCAGTACTTTTTACAAATATCAGAGTAATTGATGAATAATAGCACTAAGAGATTCCCACGAATTATTCGACTTAGTTTCAGCTATGCACCACAATCGGTCCCCAGAGATTTTAGGGGACTCTCTTCCATTCTTTAATTCGTTCTGCCCAGCTACAGTACGGCTTCCTTTTTCGGGTTGCTTAGGTCCCGAGCAAGAGGCATTTGCTACCATGGTCCTCTCGTTTGAGAGTAAATTCAGTCATGCTTCCATCCTTTAATTTTTACTGTCACCCCTCACCTCACCCTGTACCTCACCCCAGTTGCAATGCTATAGTATTACGTTGTAACTGTTACCAGTAATCCGAGAATGCATGTGTTGTAACACCACTTGCACCCCACCCATCATTTACAGTCGTCCGCAAGGAGGGAGGCCGTTCTGAGGAGCATGGTCGACCTCTGGGGTCCGTGGGTGATGAGACCTCTCGATTTTTGCGAGAAGAACTGGAGCGAAGAGAAGTACGTGGGCGGCTGCCCGAGGCACTTCCTCGGCCCGGGGATGATGGCGTGGCACCACTTCATCCGAAAGCCCTTTCTACGGTAACGTTTTCCAGCGCACTCCTTAATTACCTCCATTGCCATTGATTTGCCTCGCAACGTGCTAAATAGTAGGTATAGAGAGATTACTATAAGAAGGGACTGCTTCGACAGCTACCTCTCGGCCACTGCTGCCAACATAACTGCAGGTTATGTCCATGCATTCGTAATGTCAGTGGGTTCATTTTCAGTTAGCTCATTTGTAAATGGCTTTATCACTACCTCTTGAAATGTCATCGCCCTGCATAACGTTCATTTGTTTCTCGACCTATCAAAGTTGTCCCTTAGAGTAACTCCTCTATAAACCGTGAAAGAATCCGCAATGCACCGACTCGTTTTTCTTTCTTATAAAGAATCCATTGGGCAGGCACTGAAACGGCGAATCGGTGGACCGGATACATGAACGGAGCTGTGCAGGCTGGCCACCGCGCCACAGTCGAGGTCTTGTACGAGCTGAGGCCGCAGATACTAACGGCGGCCGATCTGGAGAGCATCGGGTACGCCCATTTCAACAATCTCGTAGGTCTTCATAAATTACTTCATTACATTTCAACCCACTTGCAGTAAAACGAACAGGTCATTCATCATGAAGGCGACATTGTATTCATATCAGATAACGGAGTATATATAAATTTAATTTTCTGTTTAATTTTGGTATTTAAATTTTCGAAAATTTGCAAAAATAATCTCTACTAGAGTGAAAAAATTAAACTAGAATATGTGTAATTCAACAATACCTGAGTTTGTCAATAAGTTATTAACTTATAAGTCACTGACAAAAATTACGTAAACAAAATAGATATAAATAATTTGTGTAATTACTTTGCAAACCAATTCGATTTCATATTTTTCATTAATAAACTTATAATAAAATATCTTAAAATCAAATATAGTTGAAACAATTCTGCTACAACGTGGTGTGGGTTGAGCTTCATTGGTTCAGTTGTATAACAAGTAATATATTTTTCCTTCAAAAATAGTTACAATTTTCTTCTTGTATTTTAGGAAAGAATTCTTGGAAAAAGAAAGACCACTTCCTCCAGAATTTCCTCTCGTTTATCGATTGACATTTGGATTGCCCCTATCTCTTATATGTGTATCATGTCTTCTGTATTATCTTCTTCAAAGACGATATCCAATTTTGCGACTTTCATTTCCCGAAGTCGTTACAAGAACTAAAAAGGTCAGTATAAACATTTATATTAGTTATTAAGGAGAGGATTTTTGTGCCCTAAAATATCTTGAAATATGCGATTTAATATGCAATAAAAATTAACATTTAATCTATAGCCATAAACCTTTCTTGACAAAACTTAGGACAAGCATGCATGGGATGAAAATATATTTTTGGGCAAATATATATAATCTACCTCACTTCGCGAGAGAAAGAATTGAAGTAAATATTCACCTTAGTGAAATACATTTATATCTTGTATTTCTTCTGAATGGTTTAAAAAATATGTTATCAAGAAATATCCTACATTTGCAAAAGTATTTTATCATCTACAGAAAAAAAAAGCAAAAGATGACAAGCAGTTTCGAATCAATGAACGCCCATAAATAAATAGATTATATTAAAAGATGAAACATTTTACAGATAAATGTCTATTTTAACAAAATATGCAAAATATGTGCCTATAATTACAAGAATATGCACGAACAGGAAAATTCAGCCAAATATGTACTAACATATTAATCTATATAGCATCATATTCTAACCAAATGTCAAGAAATTTCACGTGGCTATGCACTGAAACAACGGACAAAAATATGTAAAAGCATATAAATCCGCTCTCCAAACCCCTATGGTTTAAATGGAATTATTTTCTTTCTTATTTTCTTATTTTTTCAATTTTTACACCGTGTACTCTAAGAAATTACTTTATCAATAATAATGAAAGTAATATTGATTTTAATAATAATATTTAATGTATTAGTTTCCACCTGGACTGTATAATTCTAAGAGACTAAATATGCCAGTATCAGGTGTTGAACCTCAGCTTCTGAGTCGATGACCCCCCATTTCGATCAGGTTTTCCGTTCAGTATCCCTGATCCTTTTTGAGCGAATGCTGAAATAGCCCCTTGTTTTGCTTCTTGACATTATCTTGAATGTAACTTCATTGCGTACGTTCTCTAGAGTTCACTGGGGCCTAGTGATTCAAATTAACGTTCTCTGTGTTCTCGATTCCTTAAATAAGGGCACGATGAGGGATGATGTGCCATTGAAAATGGCTTCTATTACACGGAGTTAATATTATCTTATGAATTTTTGCCCGAAACGCTCGTTTCCAACTTGTATATGGGATGAGTTAGAGATTCCAGAATTTACGAATACCTCCGCAGAACACACTTCTCCACATAGTGCGTCACACATATCATTGTTGTAAATAGTGAGCCATTAATTATTACAATGCTTTTGTCGTAATAAATCTTATTATAACACTGATCTTAGTTACGAAAAAGTTGACTTTAGATGAAGAGGATAAAATGTTTTTGCTCGTAAGTGTCAACACTGTTTTCCCCATTAGTACTACATTTCGAAAAAATTATCGAAAACGAAAAAGGAAATATTAAAACAGTGCATGTGTTCTCAAGAGAAACACATATTTCACTGTTTTAACGAGATCATTATCAAGAAAAACATAAGGAAATAGCCTTCGAACCTTTTTCGAAGATTATTCTCGGAATACTGATTTGTAGGGTAATAGAAATTTTAATTTATCACATTATCAAGCAATAACTTTATAATTTAGTGCTAAAAATGCGAAAACATCATTGTGACATTGGTCTTCTAAAAACTAGTTTTCAATAAAATACAAAGGTTGCAAAAAAGCAAATAAATTCTCAATATTAAAAATTGTTATTTTATAAATGTTAACTATTTCTATTGTTATTCTTTTTTCAGATCCCGACTGGAAGTCGAATTTGGGAATTAGGATTTTCTTCGTAATTTTCTATTTTATGAATGTATTATTACTTAACTTCCTTGTAACTTCACTGTAATTACTTAACTTCATTGTTTGTAATATTTTATGTAGTTCAAATTTAATAAAATGTTATTAGATTATCTATGCGTCTCATTGAAGCTGAAATGTTTCTCATGAGCATTGCAGCGACACAATGAAAACTTTTCCTTAAGAACTCACCTTATCCAACACGGGTCGGGGTGGGTCTAGATATTATTTCAAGGAGCGGAATTTCAGTTCAGGGCCCCCTTTCACGAATATTTCGAAATAATAAAAGAAATAAAATCTGTTACCTTGAAATTTAAAACATAAATAATCTATATATATTTATTCTAATTAATCTAATACTTTAAGTGAGGTGTGATCAATACGTGGCGATTTGTTTCTATGAATTGAATAGAAATACATAAACTTGTTAGTTTTAGGGCTTCGATCCGACCTTAAACTCCTGAAACCGCATTGCAAGACGATGCATTTCGGACTTCCTTGCGTTGATCGGCGTCGATATTTGAAGGAGGGCAAGGCTAACATACATTCAGTAACTAAAGTGAAAAAACAAGATGGTTTCAGTTCATTTCCTTTTTACTACAATAATTATTACCTCTTAATTAGGACGGTTAAGAAAAGATCACGGATCCTTCCCTATTATAAGAAACCATTGACATAACCTCCTTTAAGCGAATTACTGATGAATAGGACATTACCCCCACGGATGCATCAAAGAGTTTTAAGATGAAAAACATCGAGTTTCGAATTTTACGGGTCGTTCGGATGTTCAGGAGCATATGCAGAACACATTTCGACGCAACACACTGTACCATCGCTCATCGGTAACGATGTATCCTTTACCTCTAAATATATGGTGTTTTTTGTGTCTAACTTAAGGGGCACAAGTTATCTTTTGCAAGCCATAATTTGTTTTTCTTACATCGTAATCTACAAAATGAAACCTTTTGTACTATTGCATCTGTGTATGGTTCCAGCACCCCATAGCACGAGTTGCCAGAGACGCTGAAAGTTAGTTTCCAGTGTGAAGCTACTTTCACTTTTAAAACATTGACTTAAATTCGTGTTTTGGAGACTGCGTCCTTGGCGACAAATGTTTGAGACATTTCTTTACATTCATACATGCATGGTCCGTAGTCCGCACTGTTATCTCGCACACGCGTGATATGAGATGGAAGTGAAGTACTATGAGGAATCGCTAAACCTCCACACTGACGAATCGGCGTCCTGTGCTTTCGCCCTTGCTCGACGCGCAGCGCTGCTATCAGAAGCGGATGCAAGCATCGACGTGTCAGCCTTCGACGACCGTGTAAACGAGTAATGACAGTAAGGCGCTCAACCGTTCATGGTGAATGTATTTTATACTAAAGTACATCCTGCAGTAGCCAAAAGCTTTCCAAAACTCCGCGTGCGCACTGTTCAATAGCAACAAATAAAATACTCATGTAAAACATTGTAATAAATTTAATATTTAAACAAAAGCGAACTTCACGAATAT